ATATCTTGAAGCCGAAAGAGTGTCCCCAGAGACTCCAATATCCCTTAATTAAGGAATGTACCTTAATTTATAGTAGGATCCCTGATTTAAGGAATATTCCTTAACTAAGGGACATACCTTAGATTATAGTAGGATCCCTTATATGATTTAAGGAATATTCCTTAATTAAGGGATATTCCCTTATATGATTTGAGGAATATTCCTTAATTCAGGGATGTTGGGTTCGCTGGGTCAGATCTAGGTTAAAGAAAAAAGGGCTCCAAATCTACCTACCTCTGGTTAGTAGGGAATGGAAGAATGGTAGTAATACGGCTGATGATATAAATCCTGCATTACCCTTTTTCAGGAATATACCATAGTTCCATAGTTTAGAGTCCTTAGGGTGATGCAGGATTTTGTCCATCAACAGTAGTAGCTATATCTGTACCCGACTCCTCCATTCCCCACTAACCAAAGGTGAGTCTATGGCAAACCGGCCTCCGGCATAAATGAAGAACTTTTGTGGGAACCAAAATCCTCAGATGGCACTTCAACCTCAACCCTCATGTACAGGAATCTAACCAAGGAGACACGGCTTCGAAGTCCGCTCACATGGGTAGTTGTCAAAACTATGGCACCTTTTTGGGTACCCTAAATATGAGGTGCCGTATTACAATAAGGACCCAAAAAGGGACCCTAATTTTGACAACCACCCATATGAGAACCAGAGGGGGGTGAACCAGGTTCCACCATTCACGTCTCTAAATTCCACATCCACCACTCAAACCTTGAACCCCCGATTTTGGATGGCGACAACTAGCCACCTAAACAATACCTGAACCCAAAAGGAAACCCAATACGCTTTGTAGTGTAGACTCTACAATGAACCTAATTAAACCACTGTGGCGTGCGCTCGCTCTGGTCTTGATTAAGCGACCCATGCTTCGAGCAGGGGAACGCCGCGTGCAGCCTTGAAAAGAAAGCAATAGGGTCCGACCGAAGTCATTTTCCGGACTCCTCTACACTGTGTCTTTTTCCAGGGATACAACCTCCCACTTAAGAAAACTTCAAGAAGATTATGATTAGAACACGCTGTAAACTGAGTGACTTTCCCAGATCCTAGTCAAACCCTGAACCCTAAACCCGAAACCCTTTGAAGGGGTGTTAGACTCCCTGGGTCTCTGCACACCCGGCGACCGGAATTCGGGGGTCACAATGCAAGGGTCCGGCCGTTGGGCCAACTTGCTTGTTCATGCGACTCTAAGGGGGTTTTAGCGAATTTAGGGTGTAGGGTTTAGGTTTTAAGGGACTGATTGACGGGTTCTGCGAAACTAGCTTCCAAGTGATTCGATTCTAAACTATACTTAGAACCCTAGCAACAATTATAGTTTTAGCTGTTTCTTAGGGATTATAATCACCAAAATTTAAAAAATATTTCTAAGAACTTCCTATTTAGAGTCCCCAGAGACTCCAATATCCCTTAATTAAAGAACCTAGGGTTAGGGTTCCTTTAAGGAATCTGTAAGGGATATCGGAGTCTCCGGGTCTTCCGACTTGAAACGGAACCCAGGACAAAGGACTCTAGTATACTCTACTGGGGAACTCGGATTAAAGAGATAATTGGATAGGTGATTTAAGCTTTCTAAGCAGGATTCTATGGGGCTCATTGTGCTGGATTTAAGTGTCTCTTGAGAGGACTTTACAGAAGGTGTTTAGGGCTTCTTGCAGGATCTTTAATGGCGTAAGGTTGTCATTGGGTACAATGTAAGTTCCGTGTTGTTTTGGGCGGCCGTGCGTGAGACGATTCGAAGAACATTCTGGCCCGAACGTGTGCGGCAGCGCCGCATGCCCGGCACCCGGGGCCATTTTTACATGAGGGACGTTGAGTGTCTACAAATTCACATCGGCCTTACCAGCTTCTACCTCAAATTACTTTTGACTTGTGGATGTTCAAGCTAATTAAGACGTGCTGGTTGTTCGGAGGTCTGTGTGAAAGGATGCAAGTTTTGCGAGGCCCATGTGCATCCAAGATAAGTTAGGAGGCCCTAAACCCTGAATGCCAATCCCTAAACCCAACGCACCGACATGAAACTATCCGAAGCACAAAATCCAAAATGACGACGAAACCCCAGAAAAAAATCCTAACAAGCTTTGCCTATGGGGGGACTCCGCCCTGTTGGGGTCGATTCAGAGCACTGTGGCCGACAGTTTCCCTCGATCAAGGGCTATATCCTTGAAAGCATAACAAGCCTTCCTCTATAATATCTGAGAGGTATTGCTAGATTTGAACCTAAACAGCCCGACATAAACTCTCAAACTTTCATGCAGCCCCGGATGACCCTTCTGTAAAAGAGTATTGGGCTGAATTGGGCGATCGTGAAAGCTGCAACTCCTAATGCTTCAAGCGTCTAATATAGGGGCTTTAATCATTAGAATAGGGTTTTGGGGTATATCATACAATGATCATAATAAGGACCCCCCCCCCCCCCCCAATCGAATTAGTACCTATTCAGGCCCCTAATACAGAACCCGTATAGCAGCCCTTACAGACCCCTTTAAAAGGAATCCCTTAAAGGAACCCTATGGGTTTCTATTGAGGCCCCTACAGTAAAGGCAGGATGCCAGGGGCTGCGCATGCCGACGCATAACACGAAGGGCACGATAATGGTGGAGGATCTGTATGACATTGGATGGTCTCCGTCGGAAAGAAAGGGCTTTGGGTGTGCAATTAATATATATATATATATATATGCATAACATATAATACATATACATAGGGTAAACGAAACTAGTAGAAGGTCAACATTGCATGAAAGTTCCGTATTTTCTGAAACTACAGCATAGGATGGGCTGCATTTTGATATTCATAGGCACTTTAGTATATGTCGAACATGGAACCCTATGGAGCAAGTATTTCGGTAGTTATTCAGGCTTCTCTACTACCTTCCACTATCTAAATTAGCTGTGACGATGCGGCTGAGCTGGGCATCAAGGTACAAGATGGCAAAAGATATATAGTCCATGGCTGGGATATTAGGATTCCGAAATCTGAACCTCTATTCCTGCTTGAGTTGAAGTACATATGAAACTGTAAAATGCTACCCAACTATGACAAAGAATGATGGGCCTTACAGGTTCATGATTTGGGAAGCATAATATGATGGTTCGGCACTCGGACCCTTGGGGTGACACTTCAGGGGGTTTGGGTTCATGGTTTGTTTAGGGTTTAGGGAGCCTGACTACCCGATGAAGTGTAAGCCAACTGTTTGTTCGGCTAGAAGCCGAATCTTGCTTTTTGGGCTTGGGGTTTAAGGCTTTCATCCAGGAATATGCTGCGGTACATCATACCTCGGAACCCTAAACCTGGGAAAACGCAACGGGCCTGAACAACAACTACAGCGGGAGACCAAGAAATAGGCGCCAAGGGCCGTTGTCATCATAAGGAGCCTCAAAGCGGTCCATGACTACGTCTTACACCCTACATCCCAGTCTATGTTGGAGACCATCCTCCTCCGAGTGTGCTGATATGAGATCCATCGGTGTTCTTCCACCTGCCGACAGGTTGCCGGCTGATGGCTTTGGGTGCTGATTAGAAGGATTCCATCAAGGGTACTATACTATAACCTAAACCCTAAAGCCTGAACCCCTAAACCCTCAACCCCTAAACCCTAATAAGGGTTGGTGTAAGGATCCGATAACGCAGCTTCGAGGCAACAGGGTTTAGGGTTGGGCCAGCGTTGGGGCTTTGGAAGCTTTGGTGTGTAATTTTGGGGCGTAAATAATTACCTGTACTATTTTTTGGGGTTTCCTTACTATAAGTAGAGTGTTAGTATAATACCAGCACCCTATCCTAATTATTAAGGCCCCTATATTCGGGAGTCGGTTTGAGGGCGTGGGCTCCACAGCATCTTTATACTCGTTCATACTGTTCGTGATTCCCGGTAGTACTGAATAGTTCTTATCAGGAACCTACGACCATAACAACAGGGGATAAGGGTCCACTGTGCACCATGTCCATCGCATACTACATGGATATCCTATCCCAGAGACTCCAATATCCCTTAATTAAAGAATATTCCTTAAATCATATTAGGAATCCGACCAATTTAAAGAATATTCCTTAATTAAGGGATATTGGAGTCTCTGGGATCCTTCAAGCGCTATCATCGACTATGGACTGGGAACCCTTCTCTTTGCCTTGAAGTTCCTTGCAGCCGAACTCCCCTTCAACCTCTTGTCTAAACCCTGAACCTTGAACCCTAAACCCTTCTCTGAGCAAGGCCAACACCCCTAAAGCGCGGCTGCCTTGGACTCGGACCCTTCGTCAAGAATTCGGAACCCCTGACTTAGTTTGGGATTTAGGATTCAGGATTTAGGGCTAGGGGATTAAGGGTTTACGGTTGCAAGGGTTGTTAGGGTTAAGGGTTTAGCGCTGCAAGGGTTAAGGGTTTAGCATTGCAAGGGCTTCGGGTGTTTAGGGTCTGCCGGGATTCCACAAGTAATCTTGAATTGGGGGTGCCTAGCAGGATTTAGGATTTAGGGCGTAGTCGCGGCGTAGTATTAAATGATCAGGCACTCATTAAGTCGACTACACGTGCGAGCTTTTCTTGAAACCTCATGACTTAAGACCTACAAAACCCCATAACCAGCCCTATTCAAACCCTAAACCCCAAACCCATTCTGCGGATCCCTTCTTAAGCTGATCCCGAGACCCTACTTGGAGGATCATGGGACTTAGTAAGTAGGGTTATAAGTACCCTAACCAGGGTTACAAGTGCATATAACCATAGTTACCTTACTTATATCCCTACTTACTAAATCCCCTGATCCTCCAAGTAGACCCTAAACCCTAAATCCTTATAGCACCCTGTACATCCCTTAAATGACCCCTTTAAAGGAGCCCTACTTACTAAATCCCCTGATCCTTCAAGTACACCCTAAACCCTAAACCCTAAACCCTAAACCCTAAACCACCTGAAACCAGACCTGAGTGTTTCCAGGAGCCCCAAGCCCGCCCCACCTCAGCCTTTCCGAAGATCCACGCGGGTTCTTTCCTCCGCAGGGCGTTGCGGAGGAGCTGAAGTTGTTACGGGATTGAGTTGAAGGTTTAGGACAGTTTAGGTTAGGATGTGTTACGGGCTAGTGCTGCGCATTCACTCAAGGGTAAGTACCTGGACCTAGACTCGACCCGAAAATGTAGGACCCCATTGAGCACATCACCTTAATTTCTCATGTTAGGTTCCTGACATTTCCTGACCATAACTTAGGTGAACCCCAGCTAGGGTAATTATAACACCTCTACTGTACCTACAGCCTACTTACGCGGTCGCCTGATACTCTCAGTACAAGAGTCAAAAGCTCAAGCAAGACGAAAGCCCCTAAACCTGGCAACCCTGTAAGGGCCAAAACGAATGTAAAGCGACCAGCTTACAATCAAATCAGATCAATAATATCACAAATTGAAGCAAAATTACGAAAGCGCATTACGTACAATTTGTTACAATTCATAGTGTTCTGTTGGGAGTTTTGGCGCCGGCGAGAGGCTTTGGGTGTGCAAGGTGTTCCGGAATCTGTAGACCCTACACCCCACATCCTTAACCCTGAATCCCTAAACCCTAAATCCCTAATCCCTTACACCCTAAACCCTAAATTCCTAATCCCTTAAACCCTAAACCCCACACCCTTAATCCCCCAAACCCTAAACCCTAAACCCTGCACCCCAAACCCTAAACCCCCGAAGTTGAAGCCCAGGAGCTGCCGCCTGGAAGGAGTGTGTTGAACCCCCCAGAGAGCCCAAGGGTTTAAGGAATTTAAGGGTTTAGGGCTCCCTTAAAGGGTACTATCAGGGCTCCTTAAGTACCCATCCAATATCTCTTAACTAAGGAATATCTTACAAGGGGCCCCCACCCTGTAATAGTGGTATAACAGGAATATAGTAGGGCCCTAATATAATCCTTATAGTCACTATTACAGGGTGGGGGCAGCTTCTAACCAATACCCCTGAAATAAGGAATATAGCTGGGATTTGTAAGGGTTCTACAAGGAATATAGCTGAAACCATATGATGAAGCCCTATATAATTTAAGCCTGGGCCCATGTAAAAGCTTCAAGCGCTGAAGCCCTACAGAACCCCTATAGAACCCTTCTAGAGCCCTCATAGAACCCTTACAGGACCCTTGTAGAATCCTTTCAGAGCTATAGCACTAGACCTGCCAGGCGTCTCGAAGGCCGAGGATGGCGTTGTCCATTTCCTCTGTGGCCTTGGTCAGCCTGGGACACAGAGACTTCGGGGGGTTAGGGTTTACGAGTTTAGGGGTTTCGGGTTTAGGGGTTGGGGGGTTTGGGGATCGATTATACAAGGCCTTCCTAGAACACCATTGTCGGACTTCTGAATTGAAACTGCGGGCTTCGCTTCTCGATGGCAGGGAAAAGGGTTGGTATGACTTGTGTCTTACATGTAAAAAATCTCTTGCGAAGGTCTGAAAGCAGCTGTCTGTCTTTTTGGAATACGGACTCTTTCGGGGTTCGGGGTCGAGGGGTTCAACGTGTCTTTAAGAGGTTTGGGGTTCCGAATTTCTGTCTCACCCCCCTTCTTTTTTGGGGTGGGGGGTTCCAATATGGGAGTTTCCGAAAATATGGGTACCTTATTTTGGGAACCTGATAATACGGATCCTACCATTTAGGGTACTATATTAGGGTTCCCTATTTTCGGAATCTCCCATATGAGAACCTTTCAAAAATTTGTTTACGGAAGGGCTGACACGCATAAGGTCACCCTTCAGGGCATCCTTAGGATACCTTTAGATTCTTGAGGGGACGATTGAAACAATCCATACAGCCCCCAGCTGGGGTTTGGGGTAGTGTCGTAATCTCCTTTGCGGGCTTAGTTTAGGGTTGACGGTTTAAAAGGGACGAATGTAGACAGCTGGTTAGTATCCGAAGATTACGACCCCGAAAAAGGGTTTTTAAGCTCTACATTTGAGGGTTAAGGGTCTACGGTGATTTTTAGAGGTTTGTATGGTTGGCTTTGTGGAGCGGTAGGGCCTTCAGGATATAGTGATTTGTGGGACTCCTAAAGGGCATCCTGCTGAACTTATGGATTCTTGAAGTACGTCTTTCATGGACCGCTGTGCTTGTGCTGGGTGTGCATTTTCGTCTGCATGGTTCCAAAGAACCAAGCTGACAGCGCGACACAAAGGTGTGGGCTCAAGTTATATGGAAATTTAAATTTGCTTGCCAACGTGTGGCTAACACAACTGGTCGATTGAAGATGCATGGCCCTACAACCGCCTGATTGAATACGTAGACAAATTCCTGAACCGGGCCCAATACCCAAGCCCGATACTTGAAGTCTGAAATACCCTAAACTGCCAAGTGGCTCTTCGCGGCAGCGCCGATATGCCTTGGCATGCTGCGAGCCATTGATGTCTTTGGCACCCTCGATGATGTCCTGAAGGTGTGGGGGACTTAAATCCGCACCACGCTCACAACATCACGAATGTCCCCAAAACTCCCAAAAGAACCCACTTCTCTAAAACCAAAACTTGCCAACGACCCTGCGGCACTGCGATATCCTAGTCGTGATTGAAGGTTGCACCCGCACGAAATCCATCAAAATTGGGTTTTCCTGTCGAGACCGATTACAACCAACATGCATTCTTATAGTGAGCAGCGTGCGCATTGATGAGCAACACCAGCTTCAAAATCAATTGCGCAAATTTTGCACCCTCCAAGATGTCCGCAATGCCTAAATCGCCAATCCAGCAAAATATCTCAAATAAACAAATTTCAAACATGCTGGATCACTGCTTGTTGTTTATGCCGGGGTCGCTGTTCATGAAAGGCCGTCCTGATTCGTTGTGGATAAGGACAGGCCTTTGGTGTCTGACTGGTAGCTGCTTGTAGTAGCTTTCAAGTCGCACCGCGTGAAGCCGGTCAGTGAACGACTAGGTAGTCTCCACGTCCAGGCTCCAGTAAAAACCGTCCGAAAACAGAAGTGCTCGAGTTCATGCTAAAAAGTAATTACGGTGGAAATTAAGGAGCTTCCAATATCAATATCGACAGCAAGGTCGCGAAAAAGGTTTTGGAAACTCACTGGTTTAGATGTGGTCAGTGCTACATGACGGTCCCGGTTTAAAGCTTGGCCCATCAGACACTATGCAAAAGTTTCTGTGGCGCCGGGCAAAGACGTGGTGCTTCGCCTCGCAATGCTACATCCCGAAACAGAACATAAGTATGAACCTGAAAGGAGGAGCAATGTAACGTTCGTATATGGCGCTTTCCCACCTGCTTTGCATGCCGAGCAGGCTGCGTCACGGTGTTTGCAAACAACGTCGAGGTAGAACAGGGCCGCAAGGCTGAAAAATGACCAGCTCCGTCAGGTTTTGCACCGCCATATCACACTAACATGTAGCACTACGAGCAACAGCAATAGTAGAGATTACAGAAGCAGTAGCCGGAGTAGTACTGGTAAAAGTAGCAGCAGCAGGCGTCGAAGCAGTAGCAGTAGCAGTAGTAGTAGCAGCAGTAGTAGTAGTGGTAGCGGTAGTGGTAGTGGTAGTGGTCGTGGTCGTGGTTACGGTAGTGGTAGTGGTAGTGGTAGTAAGCAGCAGCAGTAGTAGTGGTAGTGGTAGTGGTAGTGGTAGTAGTAGAATCTCAGAAGGAGTGGTTGTCGGAGAGGTGGTGGTAGTAGTAGTAGTAGTAGTAGTAGTAGTAGTAGTAGTAGTAGTAGTAGTAGTAGTAGTCGTAGTAGTAGTAGTAGTAGTAGCAGCAGCAGTAGTAGTAGTAGTAGTAGTAGTAGTAGTAGTAGTAGTAGTAGTAGTAGTTAGTAGTAGTAGTAGTAGGTAGTAGTAGTAGTAGTAGTACTAGTACTAGTACTAGTACTAGTACTAGCAGCACTAGCAGCAGCAGCAGCAGCAGCAGCAGCAGGAGGAGGAGGAGGAGGAGGAGGAGGAGGAGGAGGAGGAGGAGGAGGAGGAGTAGTAGTAGTAGTAGTGGTAGTGGTAGTGGTAGTGGTAGTGGTAGTAGTGGTAGTAGTAGTAGTAGTAGTAGCAGCAGCAGCAGGAGTAGTAGTAGTAGTAGTAGTAGTAGAAGTAGAAGTAGAAGTAGAAGTAGAAGTAGAAGTAGAAGTAGTAATTAGAGTACTGTTCGGATGTTTTCCTCAAGCTCTCAGTCTCTCAGTCACTCATGGCAGCAAAACTCCGTTAATTCCAAGTAACTTCTATCCAAAACTCCAAACCCGAATCCTGTGCCCGGAGGTTTGGGTTCATTTTAGGGTTTGGAGTCATGCCAAAGCTGAAGGCCCAGGAACTCGGTTGTGACAGGTGTCTGTCAGCACGGTCTTAAACTGCCACGGCCACCTACTTCCCCACACGGCATCAAGATAATAAAGAGATCCTTATCGAAGGAAGTTACGAGGACACCAGAATGAAGCAGGATATCGCCCCACACCCAAACCCTAAATAAACCGTCAATAGCCCATTCATCAGGCCCTACAGACATCAACCATTCAAGCCCTGAACCTCCTAAACCTTCAACCCTAAACTATGAACTCCAAACAACCCGAAACCTTCGAACCTTAAACCCTGAACTCCAAGCAACCCTGAACCCTAAAAGCCTCCCGAATCCTAAACGCTACACAACCTGAACCTTTAAACCCTAAACTTTTAACTTACTACACAACCCGAAGCCTCCTCGCCTTAAGCCCTAAACCCTGAACTTCCTGAACAACCATAAACCCCCAAAACTCCTGAATCCTAAACCCCAAACATCCCTTAACCGCTTCTTTATTAAACCCTAACCCCTAAACTCAAAACCGACAACCCTGAACCCTAAACCCGAAACCGACAACCCAAAACCGTAAACCGTAAAACCCAAAACCCTAAACTTTACACCCAAAACCCTAAACAACCCTAAACCTTCAAACCCTAAACCCCAAAACTCCGAAAGATAGAGACAGAGGCTCCCAAACCCCGAAACCCCTCCACCATAAATCCCAAAACAGTAGAGCCCTAAGCCCTGAATCCAAAACCTTACACAACCCTAAACCGCTTCTGTACCAGACAGAAACAAAAACACCCTAAACCCTAAAACCCCAAATCCCCTAAAAAACACAACCCTAAAACCCCAAACCCTAAACCCTAAACCCCCTAAACCCTAAACTCTAAAAGACTCTAAAAGACAGAGACCGAGGCTCCCAAACCCCAAAGGCGATACTGAAGAAGCTCATGGTGGCCGACATCACCTGCGACATCCGGGCTCCCCTTAAAAAGGAGTCATGCCTAGGGTCCCTTTAAAGGGGCCTGGGGTTCCTTGAAAGGGATCCTATCAGGGCTCCTTTAATTAAAGGGGCCTAGGGTTCCGTAAAGAACAGGATCATGCCTAGGGTCCCCTTAAAGGGTCACAGGGTTCCTTTAAATGGATCCTATCAGGGCTCCTTCAAAGGGGCCTATAGGGTTCCTTTCAATGAAGTGCTCCGTTGAAGGGGCCCAGGGTCGTGACCAGGGTTCCTTTAAAGGGATCATATAGGGGCCTAGGGGTTACCTTACAAAGGTATCCCATAAAGGGCTCCTTTAAAGGGGCCTAGGGTTAGGGTCCCTTTAAATAAAGGAAGGGATCATGCCTAGGGTTCCTCCTGAAGGGATCATACTAAGGCTCCTTCTCGGGGCGTAGCCTTTAAAAGGGCGATCCGATTATAGCACCCTAAAGTAGCCTTTCAAGGGCGATCCTGCTATAGAACCCTAAATTAGCTTTTAAGAGGGTCATACAAAAGCTCCTGTCAAGGGATCTCCCTGCAGAAAGGTGTACAGTAGGGTTTAGGGGCCCAGGTAGCTTGAAGCCCCTAAGGCCTAAGCCACTAAACCCTCAAACACCCGAAATCTTCCCCTCATCCATGTACCCATGCAGCATAATGTTGAAAATCGTGATTAATGGGAATGTGCGAGTTATTGGGGGGGGGGTTTGCGGTGGTTGGGATTCGGGAATTGGATTTTAGGGCTTGTGGGTCTTAGGGAGTGATCGACACATTCTGATTTGACCCAAAAGTAGCTGTTTAGGAACCCCTTCGCGGCCTAAGCCAATACTATACGGGGACACGGACACTGTGCTACTCTCTAGTAGACCCTATTTAGGTACATGGGTCGTTCTCTACATCAGGGTCCCTTAATGGATCTCCAAGTAGTACCACACCCTTGTGACAAGGAACCCTAAAGGGAACCCCAATTTCAACTGGACTTTGCAGTAACCCGGGAGAAACAATTAAGTATAGACTTTCGCTTCATAATGGTCCCTTTAAGGAACAGGTACAGAAAAAAGTAAAGTATGGTACTCCAAACCCAGGTCAAGAGCTACCCGAAGGGACCTTTAGTGCTTCAACCGGAATCTGCCGAGCCTTGGCTGCTGTCGTACCCGTCTTCACGGTGAAACCCAGCCGCCTGGGCTTGACAGTTCCAGAAAGGTCCCCACTATCCGTACTTGGAGGATCATGGGACTTAGTAACTAGGGTTGTAGGTACTGTAGTTACCTTACCTATAACCTACTTACTAAGTCCCATGATCCTCTAAGTACAAAAGTTCATGGTGAGGCTCCTATTCGGCTCTTTCTAAGAGTCCCGGAGACCCCTCGCCGCTTGCGGTTTAATGGTCGAGGTCGCGCGTATGGACTTTAGAGGGCTTTTATACATACTGCTGATGGACAGCTTATTGAACCCCAAAACGACTTTTTCAAATCCTTGTAAATCAAGCCGCTGCCCTACTGGAACCCTCCACAACCCTCAACCGTATCGGAACCCTAAACTTTGCCCAGCCACCGGGTGATGGAATGATCGAAGCCAGGTGCTGCAGTGCCGGCCGCAATGCCGCGCAGAACCTGCCACATACGCTGTTTCTCAGGGTTTCGGGATTTCACGTGACTTTAAAGCTTCATAAGGTTGTTCTGAGGCACTGTAAATTTCTGAATGAACTTCACGGGTGTTTTTGTTTGTAAAGCTTCGTACGGTATCATCGATATCGAAACAACTGACCAGGCGTATGTCCGTTTTCTGTTGGGTCTGGCCGGACGTCCGCTCCAGCTATGCTGTTGGACTTCGTAACTGGGACAGTATCATGCCAAAACTTGGCCGCTTCAACGGCTGTGTCCATGTGTTTCGGACATGGAAGCGGCAGGATAAAGAGCTTTCAGGCTTGAAATGGCATGAAGTCCATCAGGATTTCGATGTTAAGATGTACACAGGCAAGTTAATCCGCCAGCTACCCTCTCTTGCAGCCCAGTGACCCTCTATTATGTAAGGACCACAAGGACTTTATAATAGAAGAAGGTACTCGGGGGGCGGGGTGGGGGGGGGCCTGGCAGGGCCACTAGACTGACACCCGAAACCCTAAAAGCAAGTAAACTCCACACCCTGTAGGCCCTAAGCCAACACCCGGCCTGAACGTCCGCCTCAATGAATTCGAGGATGCGGACGGCAAATACAGCCGACTTCACCCCGCGGTAGATCCTTATGGTTCGCGTCGGGTTTCGCTTTGTTGTTGTTGCGTCTGTGTTGAAGGTCGGGGTGGGGGGGGTGAGAGTTCCAGGTTTGGGACGTGGGATCTGCTGTTCCGGGTTTTTTCAGCGCAACTTGTGCTGGCTTATGAGGTCCTGACCAAGGCGACAAGCAGACAGCTCCAACTTCTTCCATTGACTACATCCGTAAACCGGATTGCAGGGTATGAGCTTGCGGTTTAGGGCTTGCGGCTTAGAGCATGGACTTGGCGTTCAGGATTTACTGTTGGGCTTCTCGGGGTGGGTTAGGAATTAGTCACACTTGAGGTGAAGAATATCCTCAATGCATTTTCGTCTAGTCCAGTCTAGTCTAGCGAATCTGGTATAGTATGATCATATAGGGAACTACTTAGAGCGTCAGCGGACTTAAAAAAGGAAGGGTTATCAGTAAGGTAACTATAGTCATATCGACTTATAGCCAGCCCTAATTCCACATCCTTACAGTCCTAACTACTAAGTCCCATGATCCTCTACGTCGTTCAAAACCTGAAATCGCACTTAAAGGATGTAGGGAACCTAGCCAGCATGATCTCTACCAGGGTCGAAGCCAACCGTTGTCTTAAGCAGACAAGCACGCTTAGGCCAGGGTCTAGGGTTGAGGGCTACATATAAGGGCACTCATAATTAGAATATGGTTTTGGGGTGGGGTATACTATACTATACTGAAATTACCATAAGGGATCCAGGGAGGATGTTGGTACCTTCTTAACCCCTATGTTACGCGGGCAATGAGGTAAATCATTGGGGGTGGAACGTACGCTCTGATCCGCACCGAACAAAGCCGCCGTGGCCATGCCGGCTTCCAAGGACCCAGGTCTCTACTCGGAGGATCATGGGACTTAGCAAGTAGGGTTAGAAGTACTCTAAATAATGTCATATTTAATAAGTAGATATATCTTATACCTACTTTATTTATATAACATTATATAACCCTACTTGCTACGTCCCCTGATCCTTCAAGTAGGCGATGAAGATCCGAGTCGGAGGGACGGGTTTCCGTGCCGAAGTCTGTGGGAACCTCTGCCGCCGCGGCTGCCACCGGCAGAAGAGGTGGCATGTCCGTGTCGGTGTTCGGCTCCTTTGGCTTATGCCTGATAAAGACCAAAGACCAACACGTGGGCGCGGCTTCCGACAAAGGTCCTCCTCCTTCACGAAGAAGGCCGCAGCCACCAGTTCAGACCGGAAGACCTTCCTGTACTCGACCTGCTCGGACCACGGGCAGCCGTAGAAGCTGTCTCTCCACGTCATGCAGCTCGAGTAGGGCAGCAGGAGGTTAAGGTTACAATTCAGAGCTTGCTGCTGCAGTCTCCAGCTTCATTCCCGTCTTTTGGTGAACTAATGCTTGGTTTTTTAAGTCAGCAGCAACAGGAACTAAGCCCCAATAAGTTCAACCGGTTTGGGATACAGGAATCACCGGTAGCCCTGGAACAGTTCGGGCCTCCTTCGGGTATTGGGTACTCTACTATTTGCTTAAGAAACACACAAAAATATAAAAATAATAATCCCTATATTACCCCCATAAGGAATACATTTTTAATTTTTTGGGGGTTCTTAAGCAAATAGTAGTACTTGAATAAGGACCTTAAAGCCTCCACAAGGGCAAAAGGCCCCACTGGGATGCAGTCGAACCCGAGGCCTTACCTGCGAGCAAGCTTGTCTTCGAGTGCCTTGCTCTTAGGATTTTCATTCCCAAGGGACTTAAACACTTAAGCACCTGCATAGAAGAAAAGAGGGTGTCTATAGTAGGTGTTTACTAGTCTGGTGTGGGCAAGTATCCCCCACATATGTACCTGGGACCCTTTGGGATTATAATGTTGTCGAGGGTGTGCTGTTGATCAGGTGTCTGCAATACTGGGTTCATTAGTAGAGGGCCAGGTACCCGAATGATCTGGTTTTTGCAAGGCACGGCCACCGCCCAAACTCTACACCCTGACCGGTTGTGGAAACCTAAAGCTCGACATGTTTGCTATTTGGTCGCGATAACATGGCTAGACGGAAAAACTGCTTAAAACCAGTTCAACACGTTCGCCCTTTCAGACCCAAAACTACGACCAAGAACCCTGAAGCAACCTGGCAATATGTACTCTGAACCCGAAACCTCAACTCTACACCCTAAAACCTAAGCCCTGAACCCTAGGCCCTCAACGCTAAACCCACCCTAAACCCTAAACCCTAAACCCTAAACCCTAAACCAAAACAAACCAAAGCCTTTCGAAGCACCGAGAGGCTTGCAGGTCTTGTACGCGATCATGGCACCTGTCCAGACGAGTTTAGGATTCAGGGATTCCCCAAACCCTAAACCCTAAACACCCAGTACCTGAATGGTAGAAAGTATTGAAGGATTCTTTCTATAGCAGGGTCAAAGCTTCTGGCTTAGGGTTTGAGGGTAAGGGCTTTCGGAGTGCGCCGAAGGTTAACCTAAGCCTTAAACCCTAAACCCTAAACCCTAAACCCTAAACCCTAAACCCTAAGCCCTAAGCCCTAAGCCCTATACCCTAAACCCTAAACCCTAAACCCTAAACCCTAAACCCTAAGCCCTAAACCCTAAACCCTAAACCCTCAAAGCATGGTAGGACTTCAGGGTTCGAGGGCTTCACTAGTTCATTGTTGGGATAGGATTAAAAATGTACATGTTTATTCCTTATTGGGTTTAAGTACCCATAAAAAATGTAAAATGTTACAAAAACAGTGCCCAAAGTTCAGGGCTTCGTTTAAAGATCCAGGGAGCTTAGCAAGCAGGGTCATGTGTACACGTAACTTCATAAGGTTATACGTAGAGGTAGCTTTAGTTACCATACTTCTAACCCTACGGACTTAGTCCCCTAAACCCTTATAGAACACTTATGAACCCATATGGAACCATTGAAGGAACTCTAAACCCTAAAACTCCTCAATTACTTAGTCCCATGATCCTCGAAGTTAGGGGCTTTAGGTCGAGGCTGTCGTTGGGGCACCCGCAACCCCAAAGCAACCCTTAAAGGATCCCTTAAAGTATCCCTTAAAGGAACCCCAAAAGAACCCTTGAAGGAGCTCCTTTAAAGAATCCCTAAAAGATTTGCGTAGGGTAATCCGGCCGGGCCTTTGTAGGTTCGCTTGACCCACTTGTGTATCTCCACCTCATGACTGTCGGATTTTGAACTTAGGGTTTGAAGTTTAGGGTTTTGGGCTCAGGGCTTAGGTGAGTTTCGGATTTTGAACTTAGGGTAAGGGTTTAGGGTTCAGGGTCTAGGTGACTTTCGGGTTTTGAAATTAGGGTTGGTAGTTCGGACTTGGCGATTGCGCTTTTTCTGGCTTCGTCGTGAAAGTTTTTGCTACAGGCATGGTATGCGAGCTGCTCCTCTACTCGTTTATAGGTTGTACCTGGAGTGTAACCCGGAACCAACGCCGTATTGACCTGATGCAACAATATCGCAGTAGCCAGGGAGACAAGAGATAAACTTGTACTTGAAAAATATTTCCCATTTAAACAAGTATCCAACTATGGTACTCCAGAACCATAGCAAGCCTTATGGTAACCACACTAAACCCTAAACTCTAAACCCTAAACCCCAAGCGCTTATGGTAGCCCTTCTAGTACTGTAGCCCTGATTACACTAGTAACCCTTACTCCTGAAATCCGGCTAAGTCGCCGGCAGCGACAGGGCGTCGATGGACACGGCTAGAGGAGTAGTAGTAGTAGTCGTCGTCGTAGTAGTCGTAGTAGTAGTGGAGGAGGAGGAGTAGGTGGGAGTAGTTGCAGTAGCAGTAGTAGTCGCTGTTATTATTATTGTTATTATTACTATTACTGGTAGTAGCAACAGCAATTAATACGAGTAAGAGAAAAGTTCGGGATGACGATCAGTGGCAGCAGCAGCTCTGGAGCATCAGCACCACAATCATCATCGTATCACCACATATTCACAAGCCACTAACACCCCAAACGCTACACCCTTAAGGGTTACAGGCAGCAACATCGGCACTACCTTCATCATGTTCACCTTCACCTACGTCGGAAGGACAGCTGCAGCTTAGATTCCTCTCAGCAACGGGAAAGTGAAAACCAAAAAACAACGCAACGGAAGCAATAATCCTCAGCAAATCACAAAAACATCGTAAACCCTAGAGCCATAATCCTAAATAGAAAGCCCTCCAGGTCGTAACAGTGAAAACCTGTTCAACTGCATGCCCCTATAAGCCCCTTAGACAACCCTTTCTCATTGCCACAGACGAAAAAACCATCTGAAATCACACATTGCAGTTGTGTTAGACGAGACAAGCGAATCTGAAACCACTCCTTTCCCCTGCCGTTATTGGACGATAGGAATGGAAAACCTCTCCCAGAACACCCAGATCTTGACAGTCAAGGAACTAAAACTGCCGGCTCCTGTCAGCAAAAGGTGTAGGTTTGTTATTTGAAATGGTTTTCGGTACGGTATTCCGGCTGAAACAACTAGACTTGGCTGAGTCTTTTGGACATTGAGGTTCCCAGATGTAGCGTAAGGCCGTGGCCTTAAAGACCAAGCTTCGCGATATGCTATTGTAACGCAACATTCTGGATTCCTGCGGAACAATTTAGATGGTCTAAGTAAGTAGCTACTCCGACTTATGTATGCTATAATAGAACTCAGGAGCTCTAAGGAATGAAAACTAGTATCTGCAATAATTCTGCCGACCCCGGGTTCGCCTCACAAGCACGTCCGAAAGTCATTCGTCCACACAAAAACTCCAAAGCCCCTTCATCACGGAATTTCCCTGAAGCACATTCAAGGTAAATCACAGATTAAGACATGAAGCTAAGTGTGTGTGTAAATATATATATATATATATATATATATATATACACATATCTGCAACAAGAAGTACTGAAGCTTACTGCAGATCTTTAACACGGAGATATACAACAAAACCCCGAACAAATGCACAACACAACTTACTCAGTTACAAATTTACCCCGTTGAAATCTTGAAAGCCTAAGCCGTCAATCCTGAACCCTGCAGTCCTAAGTCTTAATTAAATCCTGAACCCCAAGCTGAAAAAACAACAACATATGAACACTCGAAATAACAAAACCTCAAGGCCTGAAGCACCCTGAACCCCGAAGCCTAAACCCGTAAAGCCCCGCGACCTAGCCCCCAAATCCTGAAGGCTTTGCAACACCCTGAATCCCCAAAAGCCTATCCTAACCCACCCTAATGAGCAACTCTACATCCCAACACACTACCTAAAACATGCATCAATCCTCCTTTAACCCTGACCCTAACCCCTTGACCCTTGCTGGCCTTGCAGCAGAGCTCAATGAGCTCGGCGGCGTTCGCCTGCAGCCTGAGCTGGCCAGAGAATACAACAACCCCTTTATTGAGGAACAAACCTTACGTCCTAATACAGATTGCAATTCAAGACGTCTTCCTTAGTAGCTTCCATATACTGCGTCCTGGTTTGCGTGTAATTTAAGGCATATGCTCGTGTTTCCATGTAGATCAGGGTATATCCCTTCGTGATGTCCATGTGAACTATTCCTTCATGATCCCCAAGTAATTTGTAGTATACTCCTTCGTGACCCCGTTAAACCCTACACCCTAAACCCAACATCCCTGTACATTCCTTCATTCAGGGGTATTGGAGTCTGAGGCTTCCGGCATGACCTACTTATAGCACGGTTTAGGGTTTAGGGTTTAGGGTACTCAAAGCTCCGATTTTGAAAGGACTGAGCATTTGAGTAGTAGCTTCTGTCTTCGGCAGGGGTATCTTTGGTTGAAGGCGAAATGGAAAGAAAGAAGGGTGTTTTAGGGTTCTCTTGTGCAATAACCCTATCAACGCTAAGTCCTGATCTAGCCTCACAGAATCCCATGAAAGCCCGCACAGGCTGGAGACCCTTGTAGAACCCATGTCGGACCTGTGACGACATTAGAGCTTGGCAGCGTTGCCGTTATATAATCCTTGTAGATTCCCACGAGATCCCCGGATCCCGTAAAGGAACCCTTATTGAATGGAGCTCTAACCCCATGAATTGGGTCAGTAATTGTCGAATAGTATTCATAATTATATTAGGAACTTTATAGTAGGATCACAGGCCCATAGGCAGCCAGGGTCTGTGCCTTCGGGGTTTGCATGCGCTACCCTAGTCTACGCAACGCTCGGGGAAGCTCCACGCCAGGATACTGTCATATGCTCGACACGTCGGATGTCACAATCTGATTCCTCATGCTGGAGCAAGGTGGTTCAACACCCAGGCCTGCTGCCCTCCACCCAGCCACATGGTCTGGCCAAAGCTCAGTACACAAAGCGTTTTTCGAATATGTTGATTCCGCTTGAAGGCATTGGTAACACGGTGTCTTCGTGACCACTCCAATCGACGATGATGTCGCTCTGGCAAGGGCAGCGGGTAGCAGTCGCAAGCCGGCCTCGACGGTCGGAGGCTGATCATCTGACCTTCAGAAGAGGCTCACCGTGGCTTGAAGCCGGGTCTGCTAGTACTATAGTAGTTCAGTGACCGAATCGCCGGTGGTGGTCACCACGAAGAGAAAGGTGGCGGGAGAAAGCCAATTCGGAATGTCAAGACGTGGATCGCTCCACGCAGGTCCCTATATGTAGTCTCTTACTGTATGGGGGGCAGTACCTAACCCATGAAGTAGACCATCATAGAACCCTTATATTATGGAAACTTGAAATTAAAAGAACCCTACAGTCCCCAAAATCCTAAAGCCCCAACCGTAACCCCTTGTTCAGGATTGACAGATCCCTAAAAGGATCCCCCCCAAATAAGGACCCAAGAAAGCACCTGAACTAGAATCATAAGGATGGGCTATCTTGCTATCTCATAATCCCCTCTTCAAGTCAACCGGCAAACTATGGCCATCCAACCCGACCAAATATGGGGATGCTATTTGGGTTCCTTGGAAGATCAAAGGACTTGGTAAGTAGGAAAATAAATAAGGTAACTACAATTATATCTGTTTCTAACCCGAATGACCAAGTCCTCTGAGCCTTCAAACAGAGCCTTTTGGGTCTGTGGGATGCTTCAAGGAAGCTGGTGCACAAGACGACACAAGACGGCATCGTCCTCAGCTGGCGGGCCGGGTTTCTTTTTGAAGGCTTGGGATTTATGTTTTAGGTTTCTTGGGAAGCATTTAGGACCCTAGGGTTTAGGAATTAGGCGCTAGGGTTTATGGCATGGTTTAGTGTATAGGAGTTACTCCTAAGGGCTAGGCCATGTAGTACACCCCAAACCCAAAACCGTCCTAAACCCCATAAGCCCGCAACTGTCGTCCCAGCCTTTGGGGTCTATAGGAACTATTACACGAGTGTGAATTATGGGGTGTCGGGTTTCGGGCTTTTGTTGAAGGTCGAGGGTTCAGTGTTTGGGTCTCAGTTTTTGCTCGCCCAGCCCCATAAAGCTTGAACTTCCAGCTGCAGAGACAGCCCAAAGCTTAAACAGCACCAGCTCAACTATGCTGTGTTCAAGGTTATTGAAACACCCCTAAACCCTAAACTTAAACATAGATACCAAAGTCAAAAAGCTATTACACCCTCTACTCCTTGTCCCTCTTTCCATTCTTGAACACTCGTCGTGATTGGCCTTGGGTACCTTGGTGATTGCGGCGTTCCGCGGCTGTGCATTCTCTTGCGGCATCTGCACCATGCACCGTCTCAAAGCGTCTGCCGGACCCGACGGGTATGTGCCAGTGCCGTCGCCTTCGGCCGGAGACGCCCCTGTCCGACGGCGCTGCCGCCCTCGGGGGAACCGCGCACGTCACCGCGCGATATGCTTCCACAACTTCTGCTCCCGGGCCATGAGAGGGGTCTGCATGATGGCCCGGAGGAGGGTTTGGTGGCGACGGTCTGGTGATGTCGAAAGGGACAATCTTGTATCCACAGGGTAGTATTCGAGGTTGTCGCACGTCACTGCTTGGTCTAGAATGCCCAGCAACCCAGGATTAAAAAGGGCTCCCGTTTTGGTAGCGGGTAACTTTAGAAGGAACCTAGGACTGCAAAAAAGGAACAAGGGTACTACTGGGCATCCTAGCGGTTGGTTGTTGGGCGTCGAGCTTGACGAAGGAGTTCTTGGGGTCGGGTTGGGTTTCGGGTTTTGAGGTAGTTCATACTGCATAATCCTAATAGTAGTTGAGTTTATAAGCCACCAAAAGTGTACACTTTCAGTTATATAGTGGGTAATATTATCCCAAAAAGTGTAAAGTGTATCCACTCAGCTACTAAGTAATGGACGACTACAGCGACTGCACTCGGATGCCTCATAATAAAACAAGACCCCCCCCTTTTACGGGTCATGGGACATGCAATGCTTCCAAGCTTATGCTCCGGGCATCATGTCAGTTAAGGAGTCGCATGATCAGGTCGGCTCTCAAACCTAACCCCCTGCGCCCTAAACCACTAAACTGGACTTTGAAGTAACCAGGGAGAAAAAAGTACAGACTTTTATTTCATGATGGTTCCTCTATAAGGAACAGGTGCCAAAAAAGCATTCAAGTATGGTACTCCAAACCCAGGTAAACATCATAAATAAGCCCTCTAAGCTCCATCAAACCTATGCACCTATGACACCGATAAACACTCCTCCCTGAGCCCTCAACCGACAAAACGCTAAACCCCAGACGCCCTTATAAGCGCTATCATGTCTAAACTCTCTCTAAACCCTAAACTACGCTTTAATCCTATACTTCCCTAAACCCTCAAAAGGCAAATTCTAAAGCCGATCAAGGATCCAATAAGCCCTTTAAGCCCCATAAAGCCTATGCACCCTGCAGTTCTAAACGTCTATAGTCAACCCCCATAAAGTTGGAAACCTGATTAAGGCCAAATAGTGCTGGGATTCCCTATACATTACTCTTAAGGATTGAGGCTATTGGGTTTCCAACTTATGGGCTTCTACTCTAACCCCGAATCCCCAGGTCAACCGCCTGAAACCGATAGACGCTAAAGCCGATTTCAAGGATCTGTCTGGAGCTCTTCCAAGGTCTCTTTCACCTGGGCAGACCCAGAGAGCCCAATGCCCCCCTCAATTAAGGAACGTAGCTTGAATCATAATATGAAGCCCTCTAAACTATAAGCCATATTCACCACTTCCCTTTTTGTTTACACCCCCTTGCAGATCCCTTTAAGGAGCCCTTTAAGGAGCCCCTAGGCCTTAGGGTATATTCCTGAATTAAGGGGCATTCGGCTCTCTGGTGAGGTTGCGGCTTCGGAGTTGGAGGTTCTCTACTGGGTACGGTCTACTTGGAGGAACCTTAAAAGGCTCCTTAAAATTCTATGGGCTCCCTTTAAGGGATCTATATAAGGGTTCAGGGTTTAGGGTCTACTTGGGAGATCATGGGACTTAGTAAGTAGGGTTCCGTAAAGAGCTCCATAAAGGGATCTTTAGGGCTCCTTAGAGGGATCTATAGGTTTTAGGGTTTAGGGTCTACTTGGAGGATCATGGGACCTAGTAAGTAGGGTTATAAGTAGTGCGATTAACTAGGGTTATAAGTAAATACACCTATCGTTAACTTGTTCATATTACTATAACCCTACTTACTAAGTCCCCTGATCCTGTAAGTTGGTTTAGGGTTCAGGAGTTTTAGGTCTAGGTTCAGGATTTAGGAGGTTGGGGTTCTCCGGGTTTAGGGTTTGGTGGTTTAGGGATGTCCGCAGGTGTTTTGACGATTTAGGGACTTTTTTCAGGGGGAGCAGCTCGGATCCTGATGAGGTTTTAGGGGTTCAGGGTTTAGGGCTAACGAGTTTGAGAAAACGCGAAACGAACACCGGTTGTCGAGGCCCCTTATAGAGGCACCTGAGAAGGCTCGAAGAAAACGGCACTCTAAACTATGAACACCAAAATGCCACGACATCAGTGACAGTCTAATCTAGACCAGCCTTACAACATGCAACCTGGTGTTCCATTACTTCCCTACGGCTCCAAGTATGCAAATAGTTGCCATTTTGTCTACAAATATGACCTACCTTGGGTTATGTGGAGGTAATTGGAGCGCTAGGGAACACTCATCTTGCATCGCGGGTTATTAGGGCTGAGGGCTGAGCGTGCAGAGCTGGAGTGCCATGAGGAGTAAGCTAAACCCGACAGCCTCTATCCTTTTCAGGGTTTAGAGTTTGAGACTGAGTTGTCCTTTAAGCCCTTTGAAAATTGTTTGAATATGGTTCTCTACAAAATAGTAGGTGAAATTAAGAAAGATCCCAAAGGACAGCCCAGAGGATTGAGTGTTTGGGGTCGAGGGTTCCGGCTTGAGGATTTAGGGTTGAGGATTTCGGGCGTTTCCGCAAGCCCAAACCCCGTAACCCAAAGCCTATCACGCCAAGCAGCTCGCTTCGAGGCGTGTTTGACATAAGCGTCTTTGACAACCTCGAATCTGCATCACTGGCTCGAAAGGGTTTATGAAGGGTTGGAGTTTGGTGGAATGCGGCGGGTTGCGAATGGCATCTGGTATTGCACAGCCAAATTATTCTAATCTGTAGTACAACATCTCTTGCATGCTGCAGGTCCCCGGACTCCATACCATGGTACCTATTCCAAATTTCTCTGCTAGGCTGCCGCAGCCGTCAGTGTGGCCGCCGCGGCGCCGACGCCCAGGCCAGCGCCAGTCAGGGAGAGCGTCATCGAAGTTCCACCTGCGGGTTTAGGGCGTTGAAATCTCTCTTCTACTACAACAACCGGGCGCAAACTTTCTAAGATAGAGCTTATATATGCATATATATATATATATATGATGCCAAAAAGTTTGAAGTTCCCCCGTTGACTATCTAAGAAACCGGCTATAGGGATCTATTGAGCCCTACGGCTCCAGCTACCTATGACAGTAGGTTACTATCTAGGAAGGCGGAGCCCCAGGGAAGGTTTGGGGTTTATCAACGTTTTATAAGGCCATCGCAGTTGCACCTGCTTTGAGGTTTAGGCTTGAGGGTGTTAGGGTTTTGAGGCGCATAAGGTTTATTCCGGTGCTATTATACCTGCTATACTGCTATACAGGGTCTTTAAAAGGACTTTGGCCCAGCGACGTTCCGCCTGCTTTGAGGGCTTTAGGTTTAGAGTTACATAATAGGTGTATATAGGTGTCTTAGATGTATAGAAGGGACTCGAAATTAAAGCTGCTTTGCTTTGGGGTGTGAGGACTCACAGGCTTTGAAGGGCTTTGGGCTTTTGGGGTTTCGGGTTCAGAACATGGTTTTGGGCTTAAAGCCCTGCCAGGCTGCCACAAACAAAAAACCAAGTACCTCAAGCCTCAACGGGAAAACCTCCGTATAAACCTCAAACCCTTAACAAAGAACATGTACAAGACACCCACCCTTCTTCACACCCCCCAAACGCTCTCCAACACTAAATCGTGTAACACACACACACACACACACACACACACACACACACACACACACGCACACAACAGCAACTCGCAAGAATCCCCGGACAGTCAGATGAAATCCCGACCTGGACAAAACCTTACGAAAGACCAGAGAAGAAGTCGCAAAAAGCCCATGTAGACGAACAACAACTGCGCACGACAGACTCAAACAACCTTCCACAAACCCCATAACATCTCAAAGCCCGATCACACCCTCAAACACCCTTTAAAAAAAAGGCGAAAGCCCTAAACACCCCCAAAAAGCTCTAACTCTAACCAACCTTAAACAAAAAAAAAAACTCCCCCCCCCCTCCCCCCATCCCGTCCCTAAACCCTAAACCCCTACACCCTAGACCCTAGACCCTTGACCCTAAACCCTAGACCCAAAACCCTAAACCCTAGACCCTAGACCCTAAACCCTAAACCCTAAAACCCTAAACCCTAACCCCCCCCTTCTTTTCGGTTTTCGGCGCCTGAGACCGGAGCGAGGACCAAGCCGGCAGCGCCCAGGACCCCTCCGAGGATGGCCTGCGAGATGAGTCATCAAAGTTGAGCGAGAAAGGCTTGTTTATAAGGGTGTTGTAAGGGTTTATTAGTGTTTTATATAAGGGCTTTTGAGGGTTTATAAGAGTTTTATAAGGGTTTATGAGGGTTTTTTCAGGGCTTATACGAGTTTTATAAGGGTTTATCAGAGTTTTATGAGGGTTGATAAGAGTTTTATGAGGGTCTACAAGAGTTTTATAAGGATTTAACAGACTTGTACAGCGGGTTTTGCAAGGGTTCATCAGGGCTTATAAGGGTTATGATGAATCATGCGGCGTTCTGCTTAGAGGTTTCTTAGGGTTTAGAGTTTAGGGTTCCTTGAAAGGGCTCCTTTAAGGGCTAGTATGAAGGTTTAATGTAGGGGTCTTAATAATTATAACAGGGTTCCTTCAAAGGGTTCCCGTACGACTCTGCTAGGGTTCCGTTTCGCTGTAGGGTTTAGGAATTAAGGTTCTGGGTTCTCTTGAGGGGTCCTGTTAAGAAGGTTTTTTCAAGGGCTTCTTTAAGGGTTCCTTTGCAGGGTTTACGTGAACTACCAAGGGTTCAGGGTTTTTTTTTCATTGTCTCTATGTTTTTTTAAAGTTTTTGTTCAGGCTCTTAGGGTTTAGGAAGTCTGATCATGGAGTTCTGGGTTTCTTAGAAGGCTCTGTACATGGCTCCAAAAAGGTGTTTACTCGAGAAATCATGAAGAGTGAGAGGTTTTCTGTTTTAAGGATAAGGGCTTAGAGTTTAGGGTTTGTTGTTGACATAGGGGCAAGGTGGAAGACAGGTTCAGGGGTTAGGGCTTTTGCTTAGCCACTTAACTTGCACCAGTGCTTTAATGCTTTGCAACACCCTAAACCCAAACCCCTAGTTAAAACCTATAGAAACCCTAAACCCCCCAGTCGAACAATAATAAGCCCTCAACCCCTAATTGAACCCTGAACCTCTTCGGCTTTAGGGGAGACTCCAGCCGGCCGAGTTGCTGTGCCGCCGCCGGTCGTCCGGGCAATACCCGTGTCCTCGGCTGGTAGGGCCCATCAGGCTGAGGGTTTGGATCCAGGATGGCCAGTAACCTAGGAATAAACAGGGCCCCCTTTTTGGTATTGAGCAACTGTATAAGGAACCTAGGACTACAAAAAGGGAATGAGGGTACTAATTACTGGGCATCCTTGTGATGAAAAATATTCAAGATTTGGGGGCTCAAGGTTTCGAGTTTGGGGATACGGGTTTGGGCTGAATGTAGAGATGCCGCGGAGGGCTCGATTAAGCCTCACCAGCGTAGTGTGCCGCCCAGGACTCCCTGTATTATACATCCCTTCGGACACATCTATGCTTTCAAAGATCAGTTCCTCTCTCTCTCGCAGTGGTCTTACAAGTCTTACTCAGCCCCAAACCCTACAGAGCCCATAGTGCTCTTTCGGAACGCCTTCAAGAACCTTCCAAACAAATTCTGCAACACTAAACCCAATCGAACTGTGATTAATTGCAGCCTCAAAGGACCCTTTGAAAAACCGAAACCCAAAAATCAAAGAGCCAAGGTACCCGACAGACTCGGTCCAAGTGCTCCGCAAGCTCCTTCCTCAAATACCGACACCAGCTGCGATGTAAGGATGTCCAGTGGTTTCTTGTGTTTTCTTGTTTGAGTAAAAGGCGTGCTGGTGCTAGATCTCGTTGGATTGAAGCGTCTTGTTTCTACGGGTTTTGTGACTTCACCAGGAGGCGTTTCAGTTTCTATAGGCTGTTGCTGCGTTGTTTTATGAGGGTGCTGGCTGGTTGGGTTTATTAAGAAGTTTTGCTGAATGACGGGCTCGATGCAAGGCAAGGGAATGGTTCCCACAGCTTGTTAAGGTCTGCACGTGGGCTTTCCTTCTATGTGGTTTATAAACTGGTGGTGTGGCATTTGTCCCCTGCACCCTAACACACCTTCAGAAGAAGACCCTAAAACTTAAGAACCTCCTCCCCTCTCCCTCTCAACCCTGAAACCGTAAACCCTAATTAGACCCTCAACCCTAAACCCCAACCCCCACCCCAAGCTTAAAAACCCTAACCTAAACCCTCAACCCCAACGCCTAAACCGCTAATCACTAAATCCCACAGCCCTAAACCCTTTGTAGGGTTTAGGGTTTAGGCAACACCCTCAACCCTTTAGGTTTAGGGACTTCGGACCCTTGGGGACCCCCACCGCAGCCCCCCAAATGCCGGCCACGGAGCAGCAGATCACCGGCCAGCCGCCGCTTCGCCAGCAGCTCCTGACCGAGACGCAGAGTTCCCAGAGAGCCCAGTACCCTTAATTAAGGAATACCTAGGGTTCCTTTAAGGGATCTATAAGGGATTTATAGGGTTTAGGGCTTAGGGGGCTCCAATACCCCTTAATTAAGCAATACAGCTTAGATCATAATATGAAGCCATATATAATTTAAGCCATATTCCTTAACTACTGAGTATTGGGCTCTCTGGGTTTAGGCTTTAGGCGTTTAGGGTCTATAGGGGTTTAGGGCTCTAGGGCTTGGGGTTTGGGGCTTAGGGTCTAGGGGCTTTGGCTAGGGTTTAAGGTTTAGGAAGGCTTCAGGTTTGAGGGATTTTTAGGGTTTAAGTCTTTGGGTCTAGGTTTTAGGGTCTAAGTCTTAGGGTTTAGGCTGTAAGGCTTCGGGATTTTAGGGTTTTAATCTTACGGTCCAGGTTTTTAGGGTCTAAGTCTTCAGGTTTAGGCTTTCGGGTTTAGGTCTTAGGACTTAGATTTCAGGATTTAAGATTTAAGGATTTAAGGCTTGTTGTGGTTTAGAGTTTAGGGTTTAGGGTTTAGGGTGGTTTTGGTGAACTTGTGGTCTCTGTCTTTGGGTTCCGTTAAAGCTCATTTGTAGTGCTGCACGTTACAGGCGTGCTTAAAGATTGTTGGCAACAGCCAGAAGTAACGGGTTCCTACAGAGTCGCTCATAAAGCCCCCCTCAATTGGTGAGAACTGCAATTCCCAACCCCTTCATTCAGACCTTAACCAGCTGAAACCGCAAAAACGGACAAGTCAAAAACCCCAAGCACAAGACCCTCAAACCCTAAAGATCTACGAACCTTTATAAACCCCTCAAGATCTCTCACGAAATCCTTACTGCATATCTTTTAAGAAACCTCACAAAGCCCTTCCGCATATCTTTTAAGAAACCATCAAACTCTCCCAGAGGGTCCAAGTACCCAAATAGCAGGGTTTTAGATCCCAAAATCCACACCCTGAATGGTTTTTGGACCTTGAAACCCTACTATTTGTGTACTTGGACCCTTAGGGTCTGCGGTTTCTTCCTCCACGGTGAAGCCGCAGGATAACCGCAAGGCCTCGCATGAAACTGCGGCTGTCAAGGCTCAATAACTACTATTTGGGTTTAGGGTTTAGGGTTTAGGGTTTAGGGTTTAGGGTTTAGGGTACATACAATTAATAATCCCTATATAACCACCATAAGGAATCTATTTTTCATTTTTTGGGGGGGTTCTTAAGCAAATAGTAGATAAGGATTCTCCGGTTTAGGTGTACCTACTTGTCGGGTATCACGGGGAACTAAAGGTTAACCTTTTTGGTTATATAGGGATTATTTAGGGACTATACTACCCAAAAAAGGTACTACTAGGTTTAGGTTTAGGATGTAGGACTCAGGCCAGAAGGCAACTCTTTCACGGTTTACTATAAAGTACACTTTACGAGTGAATTGGGGCTGCAATTGGGTTTACCCGGTCTAGGCTCGGTCTAGGGAGGGGTTCTTACTAAGTATTCTTGTAACCCTTATGGCTACCTCAAAGCATAGCCGGAGTTGCTACAGTTGAAGACTTGGCGAGCGTATGACATCGCAAATGACCCTAGATCCATAAACTCTACAGTCCCTAAGCCCTAAACCCTACAGTAACCTAAGCTTTGAACCCTAAATCCCAAAGCCCAACCCTAAACCATAAACCCGTGAACTCTATAGTCCCAGAAGCCCGAAACCCTAAATCCCTGGCCCTATTAGCCCTAAGCCAGTGACAGCATGCAGCCGTCGGCTTGCGTCTCTAGCTTCAGCTGCTCGTGGATGCCTGAAACTTCTGTCAAAAACCGCGACTACCCAGCAAATCGTGTGTGTGTGTATATATATATATACACACAGAATATAACATATATAATATACACACACACACACACACACACTTGGCCGACTTCTGAACCCCTCCTAAAAATCAAACTTTTAGCCTATTTATTATAGCTCATATAGAAACCCCCAAAAAATAAAGTCCCAAGAGCCAACCAGAAGAACGCAAAGGAGTTAATGTCTGGAGTGGGGGGGACCCAGAGATCCCAAGGCCCCTTAATTAAGGAATATGGCTTAAATTATATAGGGCTTCATATCATGATTTAAGCTATATTCCTTAATTCCCTTATAGAACCCCTATAGATCCCCTTAAGGAGCCCTTTAAGGAACCCCTTAGGCCTTAGGCTCTATTCCTTAATTAAGGGGTATTGGGCTCTCTTGGGATGTCGGTCGGCCCCAACTTCCCGTGACCAGACTTATAACCCTACTTACTAAGTCTCATGATCCTCTAAGAAGGCGGGGCCTGGCCGACACGGGTTTAAGGTCTAGACCGCGCCAGCCAACAGATTGAACCCTGACCCCGGCGGCCTTCGCCGTGGCCTTTGGTGCTTCGGCCACAGCTGCTCACATTCACCAGCGTGTGCTGAAAGTCTCCAGCAGCATCGAGACCATGCAGCTGATGCTCTCGCTCCATGGCCACATCTTCGGTCTCCGACTGCGCCAGCTGGGAGCGCGGTCTGCGCTCCTTGTGGAGAGTGGTTGCCACCAGCATGAGGGCTGCAGTCCCTGACAATGCCTCCATGATGCAAAACATCCTGTATGCCTTCGGATCCCTCAGACCCAAGACCAGTGCAAAGGTCACCGTGGGACCGGACATGTCCGGCAGGAGTTTCCGTGTGGGGTGGTAGTTCACCAGTGCCCCTTCGTCCGTGCTCAAGACTATGGCCTCCGCCAGCTCCTTAGTGCTCTGTCCCACAGTCAGCGTCGCGTCGACTTCGTGTCCAGATGTCGCAACGTCCCCGCGTGTGCATCACCTTGTGTTTCGTCATATGTGTGCATATATATATATATATATATGCTCACCCCCCCCCCGGTGACAGACCACGGGTCTAAAAAACACCGTGCACAACGATATTCTGTGAAGCAAAACCGTTACATGAGGTATATAGTATAGCACCAGACGTGCGGCACATGAGTTACGTAATAGTCTTGTGGTAGTATCGGTATTAGGGTGAGTATTGTTATTAATATTAGTACTATTGCTTGCTGTAAGTATACGTATCAATATTGCCAACTATAAATTAGTGTTAGTGCTCATGTTCGTGTTAGAGTTAGCGCTAGTGCCAGTGTCAATGTCAGTAATACAGCACCACTGCTACGAGTAGTATCAGTATCAGTCTTAATGCTGGGTTTAACAGCAGCTTATATTCGCAGAAGTGCTAGTATTAGTATCAATATTAGAACTAGTTAGTTTTGATATGTTAGTATATTGATAGTCTCGTATATTAGCAGATTAGTATATCAATACATCAATGTATTCGGACAGCAAAATATTTGCATACTTGTATACTAGTATATTTTACATGTTAGTACAACTGGTGCATGACTACACTACTATACTGCTGTATTAGCTTACTAGTATATTGACATACCAGTATATTCGTACGTTAGCATATTAGTGTACGAATATGTGTACTATATTACTGTTTTATCTAATCATGTATAAGTATATCAGTATGTTGGCATATTAGTATACGAACTTGTCATGTCGGTATTCTTGCATAGTGCAGTAGCCGTATATGATTATAGTCACATATTCGTATAGTATATTCATACAACAACGAGAAGTATATTGATACATTGGTATATGGGTATATGCCTATGCCAAAGCATTAATACATGAATGCACTGATGTATATATCTGTATCTTAAGATAGTGGTACGTATTTTATGTACATGAGTATATGCAGGTGTCTATTAGTAATGGTATTAGTTTTCATATCAATATGAATATACTATTGGTATTCGTAGGAGTATTAATGTCAATACTAGTAGAAGTAGGACTATTTATACTCGTAATAGCCATAATATGAGTGTTCATGCTGGTAATACTAGTGGCATTCTTGAATATGCAGCAGATTATCAAAGTCCGTATTAGTGTTGGTGATAGCACTACTGTTAACGCACAAGGGTTTACGTATTCGTATTCGTAGGAGTATAAATAGCTATGTAAATATTGATGTTAGTATAGATTTTGTGTTAAGTATTAGCAGTAGTGTTAGCGTTAGTACTATCATATTATTGATGATATACATTCGAAAGAATGTTTGTATTGTTATTACTCTTGACCACGTGAAATTCTAACAGTTGAATTCATGAGTGAGTTAAAGGATTTGTATTTTAATATGGTGGTATGCATGTTTATGTACATTAGTACATACAGGTGTGTGTTAGTATTGGTATTATTATACATTATTATCAATATGAATATGGTTATTGATATGCGTAGGAGTACTAAGAGCAATACTAATCAATCTTAGTATTTGTGTTATGCATATTCGTACTAAGCTTTATAGAAGTGTAATATTAGTAGTAATGCTGGTATTAGCCTGAGCATTCAACAAATGATCAATGTCAGTATGTTCAATGGCAATACTATATGTAGGAGTATCAATACATATATGTATATATAGATATACAGATAGATAGAGAGATATTCGTGTAAATATGGGCATGAGGGTTGTGCTGATACACTACATAGTAAGCACTACACAGTAATCTTACTTGAGTCATATATAGAACAGATTCCAGCATTTCCAAAATTTCCAAAATTTCCAAAATTCTCCCCCTAACTTTCCGCATTTCCAAAATTTCCAAAATTTCCAAAATTTCCAAAATTTCCAAAATTTCCAAAATTTCCAAAATTTCCAAAATTTCCCGACCTAGTCGACAGGATTTTTCCAAAACATAAGGGCGGACTTTTTGGAAATTTTGGAAATTTTGGAAATTTTGGAAATTTTGGAAATTTTGGAAATTTTGGAAATCCGGAAAGTTAGGGGAGAGAATTTTGGAAATTTTGGAAATTTTGGAATTGAGGCTTTGAAAGCTGAGTGCCCCCTCCCCCCGATCACAGACCATGCACTACGACTGAGTCGAAAGGGCATGGTCTGTCATGGGGGGGGGGGGTGACCATATATATATATATATATATATATATATTATATATAATAGAATATGTCAACTCCAAGTGAAAACGGAGATCACTGTGCAGGACCCGAATACATGCTTAAGTGCCACATGCGGCGAATCACGTCGCAAGATGCTTACGGATTATCCTTGCCATGTGGAATACGATGCCTACCTGAAACTTCAGGTCCCAGGGCTTTGAACCCTAAGCCCAAATCACATCAACTAGGATACCCAGTAACCTAGGCATAAAAAGGGCTCCTTTTTTGGTATTGGGTACCTTTACAAGGAACCTAGGACTACAAACAGGAAAAAGGGGCCCACTGGGAGGCCTAGTCCAAGTTAAGGTTCCAAGAAGCCAAAAGCCCTGAATGTCTTGAGGGTCACGCGAAAGGCAGAGCTCTGGCAATGAGAGTGACAAGCCCTGCACCCTGCAAGTTGGGCCTTGCCTCGTCATCTGTGAGCAGGGCGGTGATGCTTATCACCTGAGAATATATCCCAAACATACTGACGATGACCCTCAACTAGGGTACTCTTCAATTGGTATCCGCACCAGTGACGGGACATGGGTAGTTGTCAAAATTAGGGCCCCTAATTGGGTACCCTAAATAATAGGTGCCGTACTATAATAGGGACCCCAGAAGGGCCCATATTTCTGACAACCACCCACATGGATGATGCGCGCAACCATGCAGTCTCGAGGCTACTGTGCTGCATTCCTGACCTCGAACTTTCAGAAGCCCCACACCTGCAAAACAAATCCCTAATTGTCCGGTATCATGGGGAACTAAAGGTTAGCATTTTTGGTTATATAGGGATTATATAGGGCCTGTGCTGCCCAAAAAAGGTTAAAGGTTGCCTACTCGACTGCTAGGAATCACAACAGCAAACAAACAAACCACCAATACTGCGTTCTGAAACCTTGAAGCCCCAAACCCTACCACAATATTCATGGTAGTTCATTTTTGGATTCTCCTAAATATAGAAATGGATGAACCAGAAACAGGAACTACGATGGAGACTATATTTAAACTGTGGCCCGGTGCTCCCGATGTTCGAATTCTGGCATGCCCGATGTCACATATTGTCACACTCGGCAAGCGCGAGCTGGCGAGCCGTGGGCGAAAGACGCAGGCACGAGAGAAGCATGAACCACTTGAGGGTGCTTCAATTCATGTTTGGAGGGTGAGGGTACTTCATTCGTAACTTAGTAAGTAGGTTGTAAGTAGAGTTATAAATGCCACACCTAAGGCTATCCTACGGTACATGCAGCAAGATCGACATTTTTACACACTAAACACAGTAGCCTTATCCCCGAGCCCCAGAATAGTGCCAAATGTAACGGTTTGGGGTTGAAGCGACCTCCTTGCGCCCCCCACCCGACCCTAAACCCTAAACCCCAAACCCTAAATCCTAAACCCCAAACCCCAAACCCTGAACCCCAAACCCCAAACCCCAAACCCCAAACCCCAAACCCTAAACCAAACCCCAAACCCAAACCCTGAACCCCAAACCCTAAACCCAAACCCAAACCCCAAAAACCCTAAACCCAAACCCCAAACCCTAACCCCAACCCCAAACCCTAAACCCTAAACCCCAAACCCCAAACCCCAAACCCCAAACCCCAAACCCCAAACCCCAAACCCTGAGCCCCAAACCCTAAACCCCAAACCCCAAACCCCAAACCCTAAACCCTAAACCCCAAACCCCAAACCCCTAACCCCAAACCCCAAACCCCAAACCCCAAACCCTAAACCCTAAACCCTAAACCCCAAACCCTAAACCCCAAGCCCGGCCTCGCCCAGCAGCTCTTTTGCACGCACCGTCGACGAGTAGGTCATGTGGCGCAGTGCCAGTGCATGGCTCTGCACGTCTGGAAGACTTCTGCTTCCGAAACTATAAGGGCTTAGGGTTTAGGGTTTAAGTTAGGGTTTAGGGTGATATGAGTGCTGTTGCTGAGTTACCTGGCACGTAGCCGTAATACGGACGTCAACTAAGCATATACTCTAAACCTCAGACCCTGCACCCCTAGATATGATCTACACACACCACAAGTTGACGGTTCTGGGATGTCTGGGCTGCCCTTGCAAGTGGAGCAGAGAGTAGAAGTCTGTTATGTACTTCGTGGCGAAGGCGCCAAGGTTCAGAGGTTAAGGGTTCGTGGGTGTGTTGGTGTATATAGGGGTGTAAGAGTATCGGGCTGCTGATCTTTGCGACATATCTTCTCGGGTCTGCACCTGTTCCTGCAACCGATCATGTCCCGTGCACTCTGGGCATAGATGCACGACTTAGATAACCTACACGACGCTAGTCAAGTAGCTATGGAAATATCCTGATGGTGACTTGATGCACCTGATCCGAAGCAATGTGGAGATCCTGCATTCTATCTGTATCTCTCTCTCGCTCTCACTAGGGATACAAGCAAAGCAACTACAGTTGGAATTAGATACACTGCTAACCATCATCGAGATACTTCATTTCAAACCCTACTTACGAAGGGTTGAGGGCTTAGGGTGCAGAATTTTTACCTACAGTGTGTATAAGTTGGTATTGGTATTGGACTCTCACTTGGAGGGTCACGGGACTTAGTAATTCCGGTTTTAAGCCCCTCAGTAAGGGTAAGAAGATATTTTGTCAGTCACCTTACTTATAACCCTGCTTACTAAGCCCCCTGTTCCTCCAAGTTGGGATTGTCGTAAGCCACACCATCTCACACAATAGCCTAAAACACGAAACTCTGCGGGGCCTGGGGTGGGGGGGAAGGGGTTTGGGTGCATATTATACTGTATAGGGCAGGGTTTAGGATCTAGGGTCTAGGCACCTGGATAATAGGTTCAGTGTTCAGGGTTTAACCTGGATATAGTACAGTAGGTTCGGGGTTGGGTCTAGGGCACTTGGAGCTTCGGTGCGGCTACTAATTAAGGCGAACCTTGTACATCTGTCTTAACCTACGGCCATCCTGCGTGCGCCTTGCATACAACCGGTTCGCTTAGTCCGCCGTGCCTGCTTTGTTGGCGTGCCTGCTTTGTTGGGCCTAAACCCTAAACCCTAGTATAGGGGCTCTAGTAATTAGAATAGGGTCTTGGGGCCCTTTCTACTACAATTATACTAAGGAACCCACCCAAAGTAGTGTTGGTAATTATTAATTAAAGCCTATATATTAAGTAGCCCGAAACCATCAGGCCGACACCCCAACATTCACACTAACTAAGCCCTCATTCCTAAACCCAAAACGAAATCAAGGGAGTAGCTAGGAAACTTAAACCCTGGACCCTAAGCCTACACCTGCTGAACCTACCAGGCTACCCAATCCCTAAACCCAACACCCCAACCCCGAAACCCTAAACCTTACATCCTAAACCCTAAACTCTCTACACCCTATATCCCAAACTCTAAATTCCAAACCCTGAGTCCCAAACCCAAAATCCCGAACCCTGTAAATCCTAAACCCTAAACCCTCGACCCTACATCCTAAACCCTGAATCCTAAAGCGGTCCCATATGAATGCTTCCGGTGACATCGTCGTCGTCGTCGCCAGTCCTTGGTTTCTTATGGGCTGCCCTGAATCCCACATCCTCCTAAGCCTGCGGGCACCTAGGGTTCCTTAAAGGGCTCCTTAACAGAATCTAGAGGGTTCCTTAAAGGGCTCCCTAAAGGGATCTATAGGGTTCCTAAAGGGATCGATAGGGTTTAGGGTGTAGGGTACTACTTGCAGGATCATGGGACGTAGTAAGTAGGGTTATAAGTAAGGTAACTATAGTTATACCTACTTATAACCTCTATTAAGGTCCTTATAACCCTATACTTACTAAGTCCCATGATTCTTCAAGTAATTTTTACTATATGCTCCTGGGCTTCATTACTATAGTAGATACAAAACAGATCCTACAAGGGCGACTATGGAGTTCTAGACCAGGTCTTCCGAAAAGGGAATACAGTAAAAGCCAGAAAGTTGGAATATGATTATCCTAAGCCCTTTATGGTAAATTATAAGGTATCCTACCCTGAAACCATATTCCAACTTTCTGGAGTTCCCTATACAGGGAATATGACCATAGAGAATTTGTCACCTTCCAAAAATCCTTTCAGTAAGGAGTATACCTTCAACCATATCAGGGAGCCTACTGTAGTTTCAGGCAATATACTCCTTACTCAAAGGATTTTGGAAGGTCTGGGCTTTTTGGGAAATCCAGCCTGAGGATCCTTTGACTTTTGAGGTAGTTCTCTGAATTACAGCCCTTTTCAAATGATATACATCCTGAAAGCTACGGCACCCTTCTGAAAGGGATCCTGGTTTGGAGCAATACCCGTTTGAGCAAACCCAAAACGCTCCCGCACGATTCAGGTGGTGGGAGTTTAAGGTTTGTGTTTAGGTTCTACGATTCAGTTTGTGGGCGTAGAGGGTTTATGGTTTCGAGCAGTCTGGGGTTCAGATAGGGGGTTCGGCTGCAATGACTTCAGTTCGATGGCCTCCACCAAGGACAGCACAGACAGTGTTCGATCTGAAACCACTGTGCGCCAAAGGGGCTCAAGGAATTTTGGCTCAGAGCAACCGCAACCTGCCCAAATTGAACCCAAGAGCCTAAACACTCAGCATGACAGCGACCAAGGTGGCCACCGCCAGCTTCAAGCCCGGAAAGCATATACTATGTTACAAAGAGTAGAGTGTATCTAGCCATGTGAAACCTAGCAAGACTCTCGCCGTGGCCATCTAGCAGCCTTTTCCCTTACAAGCTAAAACTCCAAGAGATACGTGCCTTCTGAATAGAAAAACTATAATGAGCCAAAATGGAACTGGCAAATTATGAAGGCCCCTATTTTACAGGGCACACTCACGAGGCCCCAGCAGAAGCGCCACGACGCTCCTGGCAGCTACGCGTCGCGCGGCGGCGGCCTCCGCAGCGAGCACGGGCGCCAGGTGCGCCTGAGGCTGGGGCTCATAGCCAGAGACTCCAATATCCCTTAATTAAGGAATATTCCTTAAATCATATCAGGGATCCTACTACATATAGTTTAAGGTACATTGCCTAATTCAGGGATATTGGAGTCTCTGGGTAGCTAGGATGACCGGTAAGCTACGAATAAAAAGGGCTCCCTTTTTGGTGCTGGGTAACTTTATAAGGAACCTGGGACTGCAAGAAGGGAATAAGGATACTACTGGGCATCGTAGATAGTTTCGGTTAGGGTTCTAGGGTTTAGGGCTTTTCTGTTCTGAGTATCTGAACCCTGAATCCAGAAGCTTTACTGTGCGGCTTAGTTCGTGTCTATTCGGTGATTTGGGGCATCAGCGGTTTAAGATTCATAGGTCGCAGGGTTCAGTGTGTTCGGGCTTTCGGCCTCTTGACGTGAAGGGACACAGTCATGACAGCGCTGGCGTAGAGTAAAGTCTCTTCAAGTGCTGTTAAACCCCGGGTATCCAGAGAGGCATGCAAGAAAGCTAAACAACTAAACCCAATGAAGCCGGTAAAAAAAAAAAAACATCACAAAGTATCCCAACTTGGTAAGAAATGGGAGTTTCCGAAAAGAGGGGTACCTTTTTTGGGGTCCTAATAATAAGGATCCTACTATTTGGGGTACTATATTAGGATCCGCCTATTTTCGAAAACTCCCAAATCTGAACCCCAATAACTTGCAGAACAGAACCCCCAGCGCGGAGTCCTAAGACATCAATGTCTGAAATGCTGTTGTAGTAACCTTAAACCCTGAAAACCTGGAAGCCCTGTACGGAATCCAGCGATGAATTGCCCTGTTAGGCCCAGGCGAACATCTCCGGCAAAGCTTCGGAACCGCCTGGGAAAAAAATGGGGTTTAGGGCTTAGGGTTTGGGGTTTAGAGCTGCAAGGGTTTGTGATTAATTTAGGGTCGAAGGGTTTAGGCTTTGTTTTGTTTCGAAGGCTTATACTCCCTCTGACTCCAATGCCAATGAAAGAGTTTCAGAGGACAAGCCGGTTGTGCCCGTTTCGACACAGAACAAGATGGGGCCTAGAGCTTAGGGTTTAGGGTTTGCAATTTAAGGTTGAAGTAAGTCTTGAAAGACTTACCCAAATTGTCCCAGCACACAGATAACAGGACCATTCAGGGTATTGCATCGTTGCTACCTGAAACTCTTCTACTTTAGCACTTGACCCTGCAGGCAGCAACTTGCAGACACCGAGGGCCCGCATAGATCAACACACCATTTGCAGGAAGGGGCATTGGCGATATTGGGTTTTCGGGCTTTGTGCTTTGAGGGGCTTAGGGTTCAGGTTAGGAATGATGGAAGCTTCAGCTTCAGTGACCGTGCTTCACATGAGCGCTTTCAAGGTCCCATCCGTAAGGTTAAGAGGCCCGAAGTATCCGATGGGCACACCGCGGGTTCCTCAAAGGGTTGCGTTGCGAGTTCCTCAAATAGAGGTATAATCGGGCCTTATTAATTAGAATAGTGTTTTTTGGCAGGCACATTCTACACGAATTACAACAAGGAACCCTAAAGAATAGTACTGGTAATTATGCCGACCCCTGTATTACTACCCTAAACCCCGAAACCCCTAAACTCCCAAAACCCCTAAACCCTACACTCTCAATCCTAAACCATAAATCCTAAACCCTTAACTCCCCAAACCCCTAAAACCTGCACCCTCAATCCTAAACCATGAACCCTAAGCCCTAAACCCTACACCCCAAACCCAAAACCCCTAAACACCCAGACCTAAACCATACATCCTAAGCCCTAAACCGGAGGACTCTTTGGAGGGCTCAGGGTTTAGGGTGAATCGCCAAACTCCGATGCGAACTCACAGGGCCCCAAGAAGGAAACATAGGGATATCCCAGATAAAACCCCCTTGCAATGAAGCCCAAGAAGGTAGGGATATCCCTATACAATGGTTCCCAGAGACTCCAATATCCCTTAAAACGGAATATTCCTTAAATCATATTTGGGATCCTACCATAATTCAAGGAATATTCCTTAATAAAATCATTTTGGAAGGTCTGGGTTATGCAACTTACAGTAATTCCATAAAGTTGGAAACCGGATTCAGGCCGAATAGTGCTGAGATTCCCTATGCATTACTCTTCAGGATTGAGGCTATTGGGCTTCCAACTTTTGGGCTACTACTGTATCCCTAAACCCTAAACCCAAAACCCTAAACCTTAAACCCAAAACCCTAAACCCTAACGATTTTTGCGTCCCTAAACTCAGACTCCGAAAGCCTCGCGGCTGGCGGCACAGCTCCAGGCGTGAAACTGCACAGATGGCTCCCAGCTCTAGGAGGAAGGCCTCCTGGGGGTTTGAGGTTCAGTTTAGGGTTTAGGTTTTAGGGTTTGGTTTAGGGTTTAGGGTTTGGTTTAGGATTCCAGGTTTAGTTTAAGGTTTCAGGTCTAGTTTCTGGATTAGGGTTTAGGGTTAAGGCTAGGGGTTTAGGGCCCAGTTTAGGGTTTAAGGTTTAGGGTTTAAGGCTTTGTTTCGGGTTTAGGGTTCAGTTTCGGGTTTGAGGTTCCGGGTTCAAGGTTTAGGGCGTAAGGTTTAGTTTTTCAGATTTAGTTTAAGGTTCAGGGTTTAAGGTGTCGGGTTGAGGGTTTTAAGGTTCAGGCTCACTACTGAAACTCCTTCCCGTTTTCAAGCAGAACGTGACCGTACAGATGCTTGCGGCTTGAAACACTTAGCTTCGCAAGGAATGTATCAGGATGTCGTACTTCAGGGCTGTAGATATACCGTTTAATAAGGTGCAGAATAGGGGTAACAACGTCTCTGACTTTATCTCGGGGTGTCGGGTTGAGGCACAAGACCTTCAATGGTTTAGGGACGGCTAGGGCTAGGGCCCAAGCAGGGGCCTGCAATAAACTACTATAGGGGCCTGAATAATTGGAATAGGATCCCTTTGAACGGGTCTATATAGGGGCTACTATAAGAGCACTATAAGATAGGGGCCTTCATAATTGAAATAGAGTTTGGGGGCCCGCTATACTCTAATTGTGATAGGGACCCCCCCCAAAAAAAAAAATAGTATAGGTAAAAATTACTAAGGCCCTTATAGTAGCAACCCTAAACCTGGAATCCTAAACCCTAAAAATATTAACTTCGGGCCCCAGGGCACGCTCTACATCGGCCCAAGGTTGCAACAAAAATTGGGCTTCAGGGTCTAGGGAGTTTAGGGTTTTAGGTTCTTGCAGTTTGGGGGTTCAGGGCTTAGGGCTTAGGGTTTATGTAGTGGTTCAGGGTTCAGGGATCTGGGGCTCGGGTTTAACAGCCTTTGCAGATGATGCGGATTGAGCGTTTAGGCCTTGCTGCCGTGGTTTAAACCGCTGGCTTCAGATCGGAGCAATTTCGACACTTGTGGGCAGTTCTTTAAATAGGTTCCTGAGTAGCCCCTATACAATGAGGGTACCCTTTTTCCTACTATTCGGTTTTACTAAGCGAACCCTAACAGAAAAAGGGTAGCAGGGTGCTACTCTGGAACCTAGTTTGATGGAAGGCCAAAAGGGGGGTTTAAGATTCTTGGGGTAGGGATTCCTTAATATGAACCCTATTCTGGGAACCCTAATCCCTGCTAAACCCCCATAGGCTAAAACCCCTTTGGCCTCCTATGATAGTTAAGTCCTGCATAGAAGGGAGGCCCGGGCGTTTCCAACAGGACACTGATGAGGGTTTCTCAGGTCGAGGGCTTCTTGGGCGCCGTAAACCCAGAGACTCCAATATCCCTTAATTAAGGAATATGTACCTTAAATTAGAGTAAGGAATATTCTTTAGTTAAAAGATATTGGAATCCTGTAACAGAACCACCCGAAGGTCGCCTGCAACATGGCTTTGCACTCACAACTGAAACCTTTTGATAGGCGTTGTTTGGGGCTTTAAGGTTTCGCTTACATGTTGGAAGGTGTCTCTGACAGTCTTGTCGCAAAAGGATGCAGCTGCTGAAACACACATAGACATAGACATAGTATCTTTCCCATCGGCTGCGTGAGAGCGTAGTAAGGGTAGTGTGTCTTCTTGAATCAAGATGTTTTGAGCAAGGCTGTGACTAGCTCTTAAAGTTTTCCAAAACTCTGACCCTGAACCCCAAAACCTCAAACCTTTAAGCCCTCACCCAGAAACAAGAGCGACCTTGTGCAGTGACTTGTAGCCGTGATCTACATCTTCAAGGCACGTTCCTAGGGCCCGCTGAGCTTCGGCACCAGTGTACAACTGCTGGACGGACACCTGCCAGCTCGTGGCCGAGTACGGCATTCCACATGTGATAGTGGGCCCATTCCCGGCGCACACTGTCCCCTACAGGGGCGATTTCCGAGGGCGTTCCAGCCCTGGTTCTCGGCTGCCTCGGCCAGGACCAGGCGTCTGCAGCGGATGCAGCCGCCTGGGGCCATCTTGCACATGAGGCAGCCCAACATGCCGCCTCAATGAGATGCAAGAGCAGCAAGCAATGATCATTACTTCGCGACTGTCGGCCCCACCTGAACGGGCTCGACGACTGAGTAGCTCCCTAACTAACTGACTGAGGCCCTGTTCGCACCATCCATCCGCTTCTGGGGATCACTGGTCATCTCTGGCAAACCCTTAAAAGCCTGAGCCTAAACACTGATCCCTGACAGGACCTGTATTTGCAAGACTCTGGGTCAAGTATACTACAGAGCCCTCGTAATTAGAACGGGGCTTTGGGGACATGTTGCACTCTAGCTACAGCAATCCCAGGACTCCAAGTATGCAAATAATACCTACCTACCTTTTGGGGGTCTAAAGTCGTTTAGCAATGTAGGAACCCGATTAAGAAACCCTGGGCCTACAACCCCAAAAGAGTAGGATTCATATAGGGAACCCATATAAAGGCCCAAGGTTTTTAAATCAGGTTCCTACATTAGTCCCTACCTTGGGCGAGTTGGAGCGCCAGGGCAAGGAACGCTAGGGACTCATGTTTGTAGTTATGTAACTACTATTTGCTTAAGAACCCCCAAAAAATAAGAAATATATTCCTTATGGGGGTAATATAGGGATTATTATCTTTATTTTTTGGTGGTTTCTTAAGCAAATAGTAGGTAAGCTTCTGTAGTGGAACACAAAACCCTCAAAGCCTAAGGCCCTCCACGACCAAGGCCCTAAACCTCTTAAGGCCCTAAACCCCTAAGCCCCCGAAGCGCTCTAAAGCCCGAAACTCTGAGCCCTAGTGCAAGTACAGGCACCCTTATACCCTTGTAGATCCCCCTTAGAACTAACCTTATAGATCCCTTCAGAGGAACCCTACAATCCTAAACCCTACATCAACCCAAAACCCAAAAGCCTCATTTAATTCCTAAACCCCTACCCGCTTGACCCTAAACCCTAAATCCCTGCCCTAAAGCCCTCAACCCCTAAACCCTTACAGGATCCCTTAATTTTCGGAAACCCCCACATGTACCCTAAACCCTAAGCCCTAAAGCCCTAAACCCGACAACCCTACTGTTGATGATATAAATCCTGCATTACCCTAAGGATCCTAAACTATGGGAACTATGGTATATTTCTTATTCTGGGTAGTGCAGGATTTATATCCCCTGAACTGAACCCTAATCCCTAACCCCCTGCCCGCTTAACCCTAAACCCTTTAAATCGCCAAAGCCCTAGAGCCCTAAACCCGACAACCCTATCCGCAGCATGCCATCCTTGTCGGCGGCGCCGTTAGCAGCTCGATGAGGTGAAGCCGGCCGTGCTTGAAGACTCCTTGCGGCTGAGGGCTCCTTAAAGGGATCTATATTCAAAGGGGAAAAGGAGGGACCCTTAATGGGGACCCCTACCCTATAATGGTATATACCTAGGGCAACTTAAAGGGATCTATAGGGTGGTTGTCAAAATTAGGGTCCATTTGGGGGGTCCGTGTTATAGTACGGCACCGAATATTTAGGGTACCCAAAAAGGGCGCCATAATTTTGACAACTACCCATAGGCTTCCTTTAAAGGTAAACATCCTGAAGCCCAAAGCCCTAAGGTAGGGTAGGGGTCCCCATTTAGGGTCCCTCCAGGGATCTATAGGCTTCCTTTAAAGGTAATCATCCTAAAGCCCTAAACTCTGGGGTTTTGGGCTTTTTAGGGCATTTAGGGCTGAGGATTTCAGTGTTGAGGTCTCAGGGGGCTGTCCAGGACGTTAAGTTATTAAGTTACTAAAACTCCAACCCTTAACTAACGAACTAACCAACTCCCCCATTCAAAGAGAAGACACTTTAAAACCCCAAACCCAAACCTAATCCTTAAAGACAAACCCAAGCCCTTTAATGCCAATAACCAGCAAGGTAGCTATGGCTAGACCTGCATGCAACCAGGTTTACGGTACTTCTAATCCTAATCCTACTTACCAAGTCCCATGATCCTCTAGGATAGAACCCACAAAGATCCCCTATAGAACCCTTAAGAATACCCCAAAAAACCCTACTACGTCCCAAGATCCTCTAAGTAAAAGGCCCGAAGGTACTAAACCCCAACCCCTAAAACCCTAAACCCTAAACCCTACAGCCCCAAACGATAACATAAAACCCTGTGGGGACCCCATTTTTCAAAACCGAAAAACGACGAGATATGACATTTTCTTCTGGCGCGGGTGCTCGTCTCGAACACGTCTTTCCCGAGAACGGGGAGGAGATACACCCAGGGAGCCAACTACCCCAAGGGTAAAAGGAGGGACCCTTAGTAAGGACCCCTAGGTTTCAACCCTTAATATAGCCATGATATACCCATCATATAATTTTCGACAACTCCCACAAAGCTTACTAGAAAGGCTTACTCCGACCGTACGAACTACAGTAGCGCTGTCAGGGTTTCTAGCAGGAATCCATGCAAGTAATTAATAAGCTTTTGAAGAGATGTTGAACAAAAGGCTTCATGGACCTTGAGTTTTTGCTTCAATGAGAGGATCCGTGCCACCTTCTTCATAGTCTTTCAGGGCTCCGGGGGTCTGAGTCTAGGATTTCTGGGGTTTCGCGACTACTTGAAGGATTGGGTGACGTAGAAAGGGGGTTGTAAGTCTTCCCCAACCGAAGACTTTTAAAAGGGTTTAGGGTTTAGGGTTTAGGGTTTAGGGTTTAGGGTTTAGGGTTTTGGGTTTAGGGTTTTGGGTTTAGGGTTTAGGGTTTAGGGTTTTGGGTTTAGGGTTTAGGGTTTAGGGTTTTGGGTTTAGGGTTTAGGGTTTTGGGTTTAGGGTTTAGGGTTTTGGGTTTAGGGTTTAGGGTTTAGGGTTTTGGGTTTAGGGTTTAGGGTTTAGGGTTTTGGGTTTAGGGTTTAGGGTTTAGGGTTTAGGGTTTTGGGTTTGCGGCTTGGGGGCCTTATCCGGGCAACGTCCCACATCTCCCAACTCTTGGAGCAGTTTGGGGTCTGCCAAATCCAGGCTATGAGGATGGCGAAGTTTGGATTTGGGGGTGTGGGGTTCTAGAGTTTAGGGTTTGGGGCTTAGGGGTTTCGGGTTTTGGGCTTTGGGTTTTAGGTCAGTTTAGGTTCTATACGGATCACTGTATGAGTTACTGTTCAGGAGTACCACCTCTAACCCGGGACTTGGTGCCAACCGTCTCCCAATCCCCACCTTAAGCCAGGCGGTTTAGGTTTAGGGTCTCGGGTTTAGGGCTTAGGCCTTAATGATTTGAGGGCTTGGGGGCCAATTATACTATACTTGTAGTAAGGAGCTACCAACATGGTATAGGTAATTGCTTAGGCCACTTTAGGTAGCCTACGCTTCGTGTCATGTAGCGTCAACTTACAAACCTAGGCTATGTTCCTTCCTTGCCACAACTAAGAACCTTTTACCACAAGTAAAAGCCATTGCGGCTTCATCACACCTTAGACCTTAGGCATATACTACCCCAGACCCCCGGGAGGATCCAAAAAGTAGATCCCTTAATGGGGGTTCCTAGAAAGTACCCTTAGTAGTATAGGGCCCCAAATTAGGGGATCTACTTTCTAGATCCTCCCGGGGGTCTGGGACTAGGCTTACACTGCAATTTCGGAAAGCCCTAGCTAAAACAGCGACCCTGGCCCCTAAACTCCACGTGTTGAGACCTAACCCCTAAACCCTACCATAGATCCCTTAAAGGAGCCCTAACTTCGATATCCCTCAATTACCCAAAGGCTCCAAGTACCTTTATAGTAGATACTTAAGCCTTAAAGGGCTCCCTTTATAGGCTCTTTAAGGCCTAATGGGTACATGGAGCCGTAGGGTTAAGGGATCCCTAACTTCCAAACGTTAAACCCTACTTTGCAAGAAGAACCCAGGTTGAGGGGCTGTTGGCTCTGTGGGCAGGGCCGCATCTCCGTGGATCTAAAGAGGTAGCAGCATCCACAGGGCAGCGTGTCTGACTAAGAACTGGTATGGTTTAGCTTAAGATTATAAGGCTCAGGGCCTCGGGCCTAGGGTCTAGGGGTGTCGGTTTATGTAAAGATTCAGGGGAATTACTAAGTAGGCCCAGAAGCACCTTAGATAACATTGGAATCAGACATAACTATAGTAACTTTATCTGTGACCCTTTTCAAAACCCTACTTGCTAAGTCCCATGAGCCTCCAAGTAGAGTTTAGGGGGTTTAGGGCGCATACATATATATATATATATATATATATCAAACAACATCATCCTCGTCATCATCACACCAACAATAACATCAACAATCATAAGGAGGCCCTAACAAGGGTAGGTCCTATAGGTTTAGGGTTCAGGATTTGGGCAAAGGATAAGAGAGTAGTCTGAGGTCTACTTGGCGGATTGGGCGACTAGTTAGCAGAGTTATAAGTAAGATATTTAAATATCCCCGGTAGAACCATAATAATTAAACCTGTTATGTTTGACATTCTCTTCGGCTGTATATGAACAAATTTTGCCAACAAAAACACATAAATGATTCTTCGGGAAACTATGGACTATAGCTGCTTCTACTTATAACTCCAATTGAATTGTTTTTCAGCTTAATTTCTTACTAAGTCCCATGATCCTCCAAGTACTCCCTAGGAGCGTCGGACGTGCTAAGGGATCCGGAAGTCTGAACCGGGGGGGGGGTCTAAGGATGTAAGGATTAGGGTTTAAGGCTTAAGGGTCTAGGGTTTCAGGGCTTACGTAACGTTTAGGATTCAAGGTTTCAGAGTTTGAGGGTCTAGGATTTACAACCATGAGCCACCACTATGTCAACTATGCAACGCTACCTTAAGAAACTTCAACTAGATCTGCATGGGGATTTGGGGTAGTACTGCAAGGTTTGAGGTCCTGAGAGCATGGTTCTAGGTGGCGGCAGCGTGTGAAAACGCAGTGTCCCGATGCTGGATGCTTCCTGAAAGCCTACAGGGCCTTGAGCACGGCCTTTGCCTGAGGACTGGAGCCAGCTCAGCGGCTTCCTCGCCCTCACGTATCGCAATCGGGATGCGCGG